GGGCGTTCCCCAGCACCGCGGCTATCACTTTGCCGTCAGCTTTCAGCGCCTCTGCACCAGGGTTACCTGGGCCAGGAAAGACAGGGAACTTAGGGACGGCAGGGTCTTCACCTTGTTAGCCTGAAGAACCCCCCGCCCCAGCCACAAATCCCCGCTCCGGCCCAGCCCAGGCACTGGGGCCACTCGTGTGCCCCCCCCCGCCAGCCCCAGCTCCCCGTGGTCATGGCGAATGCGCACCAGGACAGGCGCACCTTCACGGCACTACACCGACATCCTCGGAACGCGTACAAACCAGCGGAGTCACCTGCTTGGAGGGGTGCTGGCCAGCCTGCGAGCTCGAACCTGGAAGAAATGAAGCTGTTGGCAACGGCCTCGAGCAGCAGCAAAAGGGCGTCCGTGCAGGGAGGGGTGGTGGGGCGGTCCCCAGTGGGATGGGACAGCACTGGGCGGCAGGTCCAGCATGTGGCACGCACACTGCCCCGCTCCCAGCGTGCTCCTGAGGTGCCCGGCCCCGCTGCCCTCGGAGGGGGAGAGGTGGCCTAGAGGGGACCAACACCTCCTCAACACCCTGGGGATGATTCTTCTCACCCAGGCGGGTAGGGACAACCTCCCAGCTCCGCCACCAAGCTTTCTCCCTCCACAACCCGTGGAGAAAAGCTAAATATTCCATTCCGCAGATCCCTCGGCAGGAGAAGGATGCTGAGGGACCACGCAAGCGATGGATGCTCCAGCCAGATGGCAGCATCTGGGAGGTAGATGCGGCTGGAGCTTCCCTGGAAGAGTCCCAGGGACCCACCACGCCTCCACAGGAGACGCCGGGCTACCTACTGAGCTGCTGCCGGATGGAGTCATGCTCAGCAGGTCCAGGTAGATGTCAGGGAGCTGCTTGAGGGCCAGGAGCTTCAGCATACGTGAGGTGCAGCTCTTCAGCTCCAGGTCCCTCAAGTGCCTCTCCTCCGAGAGCGTGGTGGGACGCAGCTCCACCTTGTGCTCCTGCAGCACTTGGTCGACTGAGGCCCCAGCGAGCTTGGGGAAGAGGTTCTCCTTCACCACATAGATGGGGATGAAGATGGCCCCTGCCCGGACCACGTGGGGGAAAGGACACTTGCGCGCGAACATGAAGGTCTCCAGCTGAGACAGCAGGTTGGCGAGGAGAGTGGCCACGTCCTGGAAAGCCAGCCAGATCTCCTTGCCTTTGGTGGGCTTCTGAGGTTCGGGGATCCTGGAGCCGTTTTTGGGTTTGGGGGGGGATTTGGGCATCTCTCCGAGCTCCTCCGCTGGCTCTGCCTTCTTCAACCACTCCCGCAGGAGCTCCGGAGAGGACCTGGACACCGAGCACGAAATGACGTCGCAGAGCGAGGCGTGCAGGGTGGTGAAATGCTGCCTGGCGGAGGTCTGCGGGGCAGGGGCCTCGCACTGCCCGGGCAGCGAGACGCTCTCCTCTCCCAGCACGCGGGGGGCTTTGGGCGGCGGGGG